CGGCGACGGCGACGGCGCGATGTATGCGTAACGGGGATTTATGTAAAACGATAAATCGACTTTTGAAATAGTGCGATGTAGAGCTTACCGTAACTTTGCCGGATTCATCGTGAGCAACCGTTGGATCGTTAAACTCTCGCAGGCCGCTGGGGCATCCTACTACGAATTCAAATGCCTCGCTAACGCAACGCTCGTAATATCAGAAACACGTATTTTGCAGATTTGCTGAGTCGAAATTTTGGCCTTATGTTAAACCTTGAATTCTACAACGCAGTAGGAGTTAAGTTAGCAAAATAGGTTTAATTCTAATGATATCATTAAATTTATTCTTACTTTGACTCCGATGATATACATATATGTGCGAAATTTTCCCTTTCACTTTCTTTAGCGTCAAAATAGATGTTGAATGGAACAGTGAGGCTGAAAGTAGGACCAAAATTTCGACTCGGGTAGGTTAAATAGAATCAAAAGAGGCTGATGTAGGTTTCAGAGTATCAAGTAGTGTTGAATGGAATAGTAAGGCTGAAAATGAGATGAAAACTTCCACTCGGGTTCAGTTGCGTCATTTCGCGCGCATCCAAGCTTGGAGAAGCGGAAAATTGATGATAATTTTTCAATCTACGCGATCAATTCTCTTGTATATATCATGAGATCGAATGACTATTTAACCTACGATCTTTTTCATTTATTTAAAATGAATCAGTAAAAGTGTTTCTGACTAAATCGATAAAAGCACTATTTCATGGAAATATAAGGATTCAAAGGACGATGATCATAATGAATATTCATTGATTTTCAATGAAAATACTTTCACTTTACTACTACCATCCAATATCTTCCTGATTTTTCAGTGGAAAATTTCTCTACAAAATTTGTAATATACAGATTCGTTATATCAAATCCAAATTTCTGCGAGTCCAAGTTTAGATCCAAGATTTGTGACAATGAGATTAACGGTTTTCATACACTTGGTGTATAATGAAACTGTCTATATTTAAAAAATGCATCAATAATGGGACTCGTCACTTCTGTTAAGTGATTCTTTTAACGAGATTTCATTAACTGCTATACTTATGCACGCAAAAAAATCTCAGTTGGTATAAACGAATAGAAACCAACTGAAAATTAGATGATCAGAAGCGATATCTCTGTTTTGAAACTAATATTTCTGTTGTCGCAACCGAAAATATTTCTCTGAACATTCAGCGATATTAGAACTCGGTTCAAGTAACTGAGAACAATTGACTATACAGAAGCCTCATAAAGGAATTTTTCTGTTCCTACAGTCGAGTTTTCGTCTGGTCCCTGAGCAACCGAAAATTCGGTTGCACCAACAGAATTGTTTTTTCCGTGTGTACTATATTTATACAAGCACCAATTATCAGTATAGAATAAGTATAGAATAACAGAATTCCAATAAAGTATATATTAATTGCACTTTACAGAGTACTCTTTTAAAGTAAATTAGTATAAATATTTTCGACTGAATCAGTAAAAGAACAATTTTACCGATGATCAGTGATTCAATGATATTCAAACACTTTCTTGTTATACTACTTTATCTTATATCTCACATCCGACTAGAAAGTTATCCCGTGGTTCTAATAAATTATTTGACTAGTATAAACTGATGTTATCGGGTCCTAATTATTAATAGGACCCTAATTATCAATAAGCTTTACTAATAAAGTCCTGGTTGCCACGTTGCGTGGCATGACTAATTAGAACATTAATATTAATAACACCTTATACAAACTAAATAATTGTTTGAGATCAACCTGACCAAGACAATGATGGAATAAATTTCTAGTTCTAGATTTTGATCAGTGCGAGTAAGATATCTTTGCAGAATCTGTGATACACAAATTCATTATACTAAATCCAATTTTCCACGTTTATAACGATGGACAATGGAATAAACGACTTCCACGCGTCTTGCGTGCAAGGAAACTGTCTGTGTTTGCAAAGTGCATCAATAATTGGAATAATCACTCTTATCCTTTCAGTGAGATTTGACTGATTACAGTACTGTACTTATACTGAAGCACCAGATATAGGTATAGAATTTTAATGAAGAACATTGAGATTGTACTTTAGAAAGAGCTCGTTTCTCACTCGTTTTATAGGTATTACATCTTGTTATCAGCGCTATCAGCAGGCCGGCCGTGACGCGCTCTCGTTACCGCGAGATCGCCGCGCCGTTTGTACGAAACGGTCTGTCGCGGGGTCTGCAGATGTCCCAACGGTCGTACGATCGTTAGTATCGGCTAATTACTAATTACTAGCGAGTAACGGCGCATTCGGCGGCCCACAAAAGAGCCAATTTGCGATCGCGCCGATTGCAGGCGATCGTGCGCGCGATCGATTACAATGCTCTAGCCGGGCTCTAGCTTTCCCGATTCGATTATCGATCTTCGGGAGCCTCCCTGGGCTGATTGCTAGATCGCTGCCAATTTCCTCGTCATCCGTTCGTCGTGGAATTGCGCAGCGGGGATGCAAATCGGACGATGGTCCGGCGTGCTTCGACAGATGCGCGTCCCGGCGTAGCGTGCCGCCGGTCCGGCCGATAATTCGTTTCGATAATTCGAGATTATACGATTCGGATGGCTTCGTCGGGGTAGCAGGTCCAGCCGCGAGGCACGTCCCGATGCGCCGTCGTCGTCGACGTCGCGTCGCGTCGCGTCACATCGCGTGTGTGCAACGGGCTCGTTGCTCGAGCGTCCCGCTGCACACATATCCACGGTCGGGAATTAATATTCCAGTTACATCATTTAAAGCGCGAGCGCGCCGATGACAATTTGCAACTATTGTTCGGCCCGGTGGTTATTATTGCGGTACGGGCGCTATGCTCTTACGAGCAGCTGAATGCCGATTGTGGCCATTGTACAATATTGACCGCTGTCGGAAACTGCTAGCCGTCGGGTATACACCGAGCAAGTTTGCCGTGTAAACGATAACCGCGCGATATTATCTTCGTTGAAATGACGTCGCTCGCCGCAGAGCTAGATTATGGCGGGACGATAAAATTCTGAATTGCTATCGACTCGGGCGGCCGCGGTCCGCTGCATCGTTACGTTACTGCACGTTACGTGCCTTGACGAACACTTTAATAGTGTAATCAGAGAGGTCGCGGAAAGTTCTTCGAACGAATCGACACATTCGACAATTTGTGCACAATGCGAGTCGACTGAAGTATCGACTGAAGTGCACCCTGACGGAATGTCGCGCGCTTCTCTTGTTCTCTTAAATTTCTCGGAGTTGAATCTCACTCGAGCGAGGAGCGGCAGTGTAATAGTGGAAACGCTGCAAGTCGAAACTGCAAGAGAGAATATCTCACAATCGAGCTCAAAGCTCGGTGTTCCGACTTCACTATGAGCGAACCTTTCGATCGATTAGATATGCACTGAGAAAAATCCCTCGGTTATCAGAACGAGACAGCATGTTCGCTGTTCGATGACCGCTACACTGAAAGAAAAATATAGTTACTTTTGACTCAACTATACTTTTTTGTGATTTTAACCAAAAAAATAATTAGAAGAACCATCTTTCTTATAATACTTACTAAAACAATGGTTTTTCTAACTATTTTTGTGGTTAGAAATCACAAGAAAGTATAGTTGATGCCGAAAGCAACTATATTTTTCTCTCAGTGTAAAGGAACAGATGGAACAGTTATCGCTCGCGATAATGTTGCAAATCATTTCTCATCATTTGCCATTTTAACAGACGTACATTGCCTGAGGTATCCAATCACATTTGTTCTCGTCTATTTAGGGCAGGTTATATCTCCATTACAGAAATGTTGCTCAGGGCAACGAATCAATCGTTCCCACTACCGGCTCATTTGCTATCTCGCGCATGCAACCAACGAACCATTCGTTGCGGGTACTGATATTTTATTAAATTAGCGAAACTTTTCTCTCAGTGTGTGCCTGTGACGATGGAGTACATCAAATTCGCCCTACATGAATGAAAAATCACTCGAAGCAACGTGATAGCGACTTCATTTTTCGAGTGAAATATTATTCCAAAAAATTTAGAGAACACCGATATTTTAGCCCTACTCTTGACGTGAACTTTTTAATATCTGTACATTCTGAAGGATCAGTATATGTTTAACACACACGGAAATCCTATTAAGTATTAATAGTCGCCTGAAATTTGTCTCATGTGAGATACTCAAATTATTGTTCAGAGTTTTTCTGTTGAATTATGATATACTGCCAAATTAGAGGATCTCCTAATTTGTAAAATTCCAATTTTAAATGAGAGCCAAAAAACTGATAACTTCCGTAAAACTATAAATTTTTTATCACGATTTTTCTGTTCGGTAATATTCATTAAATAGAGGAATTGTATCCATTTAATAAATGGATTTGGTAAATCCGCAGTTTTGTGAGAGTTATCAGTTTTCTGGCTGTCCCATAAAATTGGAATTTTGCGAGACAGGACGTTTGGCCGACGATACATAATAATTCAACCAAAAACAAAAACTTGGATTTAACTCTGAGAATGAGTAATAATTTAAGTATCTCACATGAGACAAGTTTCAGGCCCTGCAAAATTGATGAGTCGAGAGATTTTCTAATTTGGCTGACTATATGAGACACTTATGCCTGTAATCACGATTCAACTGAAGAGCTTTCATCCAACTCTGAATTGAAATCTAAGTGTCTTACATGAGACGAATTTCAAGTAATAATTATTAATACCGACCCAAATGGAGGAAAATGCACAGAACGCCACTTGTAGCTTCTAAAGAGGACCTCTCGACAAGTAGTCAAAGTTAGTAGATTAGACAGAATCAAAGCAAGCTGACAAGCTTCAGAGTATCAAAGCAGGCGTTAAATGAAATATTGAGGTCGAAAGTAGGACGAAAATGTCGACTCGGGTAAACAAGAATCATCATTATTTCCGGCGTGCTCATTAGTTGTCCTTGTAGGATTAGTGTGAAATAGGAAGAGAGACACGGGAGAATAAATTGCAACGGCAACCCTCACCTGTCGCGTTTTCGCAATTGCAACGTCGTACGTCGGCGGCGGCGACGTCATAGACGGAATAGCGTAAAGAGGCTGCGATCTGCTTTGTGAATTCAACTGGCTAGTCCCGTAGTTATTAATGCTCGAGTTTGGTGTATCCGGTATGGTGGCGTACAGCGCTTCGGGGATGGTAATCTCTCGGATCCTTTCGCCCAGGATACTTGAGTCGGAATCTGCAAACGTGATCATTTTCGTTCGCAGTTGAGAACTTACTATACCGTCCAAGTTAGTTGCTTTGAAGTTATTTATGTAGGAACGCAATCTAAACTGTCAATAATATTTATAATAATATATTGTAATACTGTAATAATATAATAACAATAGGAGTATAATAATCAAATATTAAATGGCGAAAATAGAGCGACTACTTTTCCAGGTCGACTTAATTTGTAACAACTCGATAAAAATATAACCTGCGAGTATACTAAAGCCTGTATTAATAGTTTTTATTTGAAAGGTGAGATACTCAGATTTATATATATATATATATATATATATATATATATATATATATATATATATATATATATAT